TTTTCCATCTGGTGTGGGTGAGTGATAGTCTACTTTGATTTTGGTTAAGGTGGATTATCACTTACCGTGTAATCAGTCAGGGGATTCTACAGACTGTTGAGGGTTCAGCCTCCTGATGAGTCGGTGAAACTCCGACGAAACAGTTCGTCACAGCCCCTCGTTTGTTGTCCTCTTCTCCCTCTCTGCCTACGGTTTACCGAGCAGTTCTATTTGACGATATATATATATATATATATATATATATATATATATATATTGTCACATAACTATGAACTAAAAGAGCGCACTTTGCGAAACAAAAGGCAAAAGTAACAAATTAAAAAACAAGACACACATGAAGGGCACACTGAAACCATTCATTTCTCTCATTCTTCTTTAACTCCCCCTTCACCGTGCCTCTCACGAACAAGGTTCGCCATGTTGATGAAGTTGAGTGCAAGCTGTCCCCATCACCGTTTGCCATAACAGCCCACTTGTACGTTGTGAGAAAGAGGCAGAGTGAAGGGGGAAACACAGGGAGTGGAGATGGAGAGCAGACAAACAAAGAATGATAAAGGGAAAGTAAGGGAAAGTATGGAGTGTGGAGAGAAGATGAAGGCAAAAGAGGATAAGAAAAGGCTCAAGAATGAGTTTGTCCTTGACGACAGAGAGGACATACATTGTAAGGATAAGTTAAATGAACACATGGAAGACCTAGCTGAGCATTCTTACTGCAAGAATTACCACGACGGCTGGCATTGAGCATGCCCACCATACACCCCCGACAAATGGCATGTAAATTGTCAAAATGAAGGAAGAACGGTCACTACAAAAGAGCATGCATTCAGTATGGCGCCCATGGACACAAAATGGACATATAGTGTCCGGATGCGGAGGGTGCCTGCAGTCGGGAAAGGTGGAACAGTCCTCTGCACACATGGATGCAGAAACCATGTCATTGTAGTGATTGTGACAGAGACGATGGCGGCTACAGCCGAGTGTAATAGTGTTTGTGGTTGTACAAAGGAGAAGGTCGCAGATTGTTGGTACATTGTCTTGCTGCAGCAAGGGGCCAGAGGAATGATCTTCAACATAAAAGAGATTGCAGACGGTTTTTTGTGGCAAGAAAACAACATCATTTTGTAAGAAATCAGTGACATCAGTCATGGCCTGGACCATGGTGCCGTTGTCCCACAGCTCCCAGTGGTCAGAGGCATGTACAATGGCCATGTAATGGCCAGGGCCGTGCACAATGCAAGCAGAGATGTTGGATGGAGGAGGTGAGCATTGCGTAGTTCAAGTTGACGGTCCCTCATTGCTAGTTGTATGACAGCAATGGTAAAACCTTCTTCGCTAGTATAATTACAATCCTCTGGCTGTAGTTGGGGAAGATCAGCATCAAGCTGAAAAGCAATTGCAAGGAAGTCTGATGGTGTATAAAACGGGCGGTGGAGAATGTGCAGACAGATATTAGTTTCCATCAGACCACAGAGATTGGTGAGGTTCTCAGGCTGGTTTGTTGGATGCTGGCCAACAATTTGTAGACCACCCAAGTGGTGTTGCAAGCCCAAACTGTGTTGGGTTGTTTGCTGGTCAGTCATTTGCAGATCACCCATGTGGTCTGCACGTGGCGGGGCACAAATTTGTGGTTCATCCGAACAATGCTGGTCAGCCATTTGCAGATCCCCCATGTGGTCTACGTCTTGTGGGGTCAACTGCAATCCAAGCAGATCATGTTCCAATCCCTCAACGTTTAGGGCTGCATCATGAGTAGGAACTGTCCCCGGAGTCGACAGTGTACTTTGGGCAGGGACCACATCGTGTTGTACAGGTGAGTCATGAATATGTAACGCCGCAGGGTATAAAACATGGTGTCGTGGCTGCATGCAGGCAGCTGGACTGTCTGCAGGAGACATAAGAGTGGATATTGCCATTTGAAACAAAGGAACCGCAACAACATGTGGAGGAGGCACAAAGAGAATCGGGCAGACAAAGGAACAAGTTGCTGATCCCCGGACAATCGTCGACGATACACAACAAGAGTAGTAGTGGTGTTGCAAACAGAAGATGAGCTTGTCCCTACCAACGAAGGTGGAACAATGGGAACAATGGAAATTGGAGAGTCTATTCACAAGCGAGACCGTGGAGGAGATGGGGGTGGTGAGGAGGAACGCAGTCGTCTGCGGCCAAGCACAAAAAGAGATGAAAGAGGGGTGGATTGGGCAAGATTTCAAAATAAAGGACGTGGGTGTCAGAGAGACTGTGATGTTCTTTGCACTGGAGCTGCAGGAGAGGAAGCTGTAGCAGTAAAAACTACACTAGGGGGAATTACAATTATGGAAACTGTTATACTGAAAACTGCAGCAGTGGAAACCGCAGCAGTAGAAACTGCAGCAGCGGAAACTGCAGCAGCGGAAACTGGAGCAGTGGAAACTGCAGCAATGGAAACCGCAACAGTAGAAACCGCAGCAGCGGAAACTGGAGCAGTGGAAACTGGAGCAATGGAAACTGCAGCAGTGGACACTACAGCAGTGGAAACTGCAACAGTGGACACTGCAGCAGTGGAAACTGCTGGAGTGGAGACTGCAGGAGTGGAGACTGCAGGAGTGGAGATTGGAGCAGTGGAAACTGCGGTAGCAGCCGATGAGCAAGTAGGGGCAGAAGCAGGACGAGAGCATCGTGGGGGCGAAGAAGAAATTTGATGATACAATTACCATCGCAGCATGTCGGAACCACTGAGAGAGACGCGTCACATGCGTAGGACAGCGACGTTGGCGGGAGCGCATGTAACAGGTCCACCCCTTAGCAAGGGTTGGTGGGGAATGCCCACGTGAAAGCATGCGGCGAGTAAGTGTTGTTGCCGCAGTTCGAAAGTTCTGCCAAGTGTTACAAATTTGTTCAAATCTGGTCAATTACCCAGTGAACACACCAGCCGGTTGATGGGAAGGGATGTTGGAGGTCGCACTTGGATAACGAATGACAAGGAAGTCCCAAGCAACCACTTTATCAAAGACGCTCATGCGAAGCGAGCCATCGGAACAGACCCGTAGATGCATACCTAAAAAGGTACAAGAGCCATATGTTGTTGTAGTCTCCTTCCGCTCAAGCCCATAGTGCACTGGTGGAGGAGGTAATTGTCCCTATGAAAGAACATCATCAATGAGGCGATAGGTGAAGGCATATTGCTGAACGGCTTGAAGATCATGATGACGAATGTCATTAACAAAGCGTGCTTCATCCCAATACAGCATCATATTAAAAATTTATGGGCCAACATTCGTTCCCATTGGAATACCGATAATTTGTTTGCGAAGCATGCCATCTCTAGTGTACAGAAAAATGTTTTGTACAACAAAGCGAAGATGTTGGAGAATCTGAGAAACGAAAAGGGTATCCGCATTGGCCACAACGAGGTCCTCGAATAACCATTGTGAATTGCGTGCGAGCATGCTGAAGGGCATAAGCATGAGCTTCATCAACAACTTTTGCCACATTATTCAGAATGCGGTCATGAGGAAGGTTGGTGTACATTGTGAGGAGAGACGCCACGAAAAAATGATGCATTGTTTTTCAGGTCAATCGACACTTCGTCGACACTCTAAACGATCCAGCATCGTCGAACACCAACCTGTTGACAAAGCTCAGTGTCTTTCTCGCAAAGAAAAGAGATCACTCTTTGCAAAGCGGCGCTGAGATACGACGAAGTAGACGTTGTGCTAGCCAAGGGTTTGTGAGGAGGCCGTTCATGAATGGTGCAAATCGTTGGACGAGGGCGAGCGTGTGGGGGAACAACACTGTTATTTTGTGTTGTGACTCCAAGAATGTTGCGAAGAGCTGGAGGAGACTTGTGAGCTTTGAGTACATAGTAAAGGTATGGTAGAGTATCAGTGTGGGTGTAACCCCAATGGTGATTCCACACTGCATGGTGGTCAAGGACATCAACAACAGACTCTTGAGGACGAGTATAAGTGGGATTGTCCAAATGGGTTGAGAGATGAAACTGATACCAATTCTTGGAGCAAATTATCAAATTGTACGATGTTTTGTCCACAGGGACAATGACAAAGTGTTGTTGAAGATGGCGCAAGGAGGCATGTGTAGAACGAAGTGAATGTGGTTGGCTCACATGATTGGAGAACGAAGATGCATTGGATTGACAATGCGCAAGGATTGCAGAACGCCAGTTGTTCATCTTCTGAGAAAGAGATGAGAAAGAAGCAGATCGAGAATGTCAGGCCAACAACCTTTTGTAATTGGCAATGTATTCATCTAGTCCAATTGCCAGTGCCTGAAGCACATCAGCAGTTTCCCCATCCAGACGATACTTCGAGCCTTCTTGAAAAAGCTTGCGAAGGCTATCATCGGAGATGATATTGTAGTGAACAGACACAATATGGCCATCCACAAGATCATAACAATGTGGAAAGGCTCTACGACATTCGCAATTAGAGGAGTCGGGTAAGTTCATGCCTGGAGTAACACTCAAGGCCACATCAGTGAAGTTATAAAACTGGACATGCGTGGGTGGCATCAGTTTGTCACATACACGAACATGTGTGGCTGCTTGAGGGTCAGGGTGCAATGCAAGTTCATCCGACAATAGTAACACATGGTGAAAGTTCGTAGCACGAACTACCTCATGCGCATGTACAACCTTGATGTGGTCAGTAAATGGGTCACAAGGTTGTGCTGTGTAACGTTGGCGGGTATGTTGGGATTTTCAGATGAGGCATTCGAGTTCTCGAATGTCTGTTGTCATGTCCACATTGGAAACATTATTGTAAAGCCGTTGCAAAAGCCGTACCCACCGTGCTGGTGTTGCTTGCTCAATATCAGCCTTGACACGACACCAGTTACCCGAAGCAGCTTCAGTGAGAAGGCGGTGCAGTGAGGTATAAGTCCGGGACCCGGACAAAGATCAACAGCAAAGGACCTAACCGAAGGTTGGCAGAAGAGGTAAACAGTGAGGGGTTGTCGATAAAAGGGGTGCAACATAAGAGCCAACGGGTGTTGGTAAAAGGGGTGCTGTGTGAGAAGGATCAGCCGGTGCAGGAACGGATGGAGCAGCAATAGATGTGGTAGGGAGGGAAACAGGAGGAGTTGAGGCATGAGGAGGTAGAGGGGGGTGAGGAGCAAAGGGACGAGGGCCCATTTGTGTCCAACGATGAGGGCGGAAGTGTCGTCGTGAAGACGGCAGTCTAGCCATTGGAAGGACTCCATTGAAACCGCCAGGGTGAAGAGTTCGAAGTTTACAAACCCAAAAACCCTCGTGGGGTGCAGCAGCCCGTCGAAAGAGGGCATGATCAACAAGACCTTCAGATGTGTGATATTTCTTAATTGTTTTCGGCCCGGCTGGGCAAGTGGGCCTGGGCCAAATTTTATGAATATTTTAATATCGGTAGAATATAAAACACCATGACACGTTCCTTCCTTACAAATTTATATATTAGGAACGGCTCCCCCCCCCCCCCCCCCCCAACCTCTGCCTTTTTTTTTTCTTTTTTTTTTTCGGTTTCTCTCTCACTTTGACAGATTCAGCCATTGCGTTATCCAGATGGGTCTGGCAGTCCTGTAGGGATCTCATCGCAACATCTCTCTCCTTGCATGCACGCTCCACACTATCCCTCTCCTTCCGTAAGTTCTCCTAGCAGTCCAACAAGAGCCAAAATCCATATCACAAAAGTTGGAAAGTCAATATAAAATTTACAAATAAGTTACAACCTGTGTTATTAACCGGGCCGCCTGGGTCACACCTTGTTTGACCGGGGCCGCCCAGCCGGGCAAGGACCAGGGAAGGTCCCTGTTTAAAAAAAAAAAAAAAAAAAAAAAAAAAAGCGAAAAAATTATGCTGTGCAGAAAAACAAACTGAACAACTTTTGCCTCAGGGTCGGATCGAAATTCTTTGCGAGATAAAAAATAGAAAATAAACTTTAAAAAATATTTTTATTTTTATTTTTTTAATTTTTTTAGTGCTCCCGGACCACTTTGGTAACATAGCAAATAACAGATTATTATACTCATAGAGTCATACTATGATAATAAATTAATAATTGTTGTTCAACAAAAGAAACTGACTGGCTGACTGACTCCTTGGCTGTCATAAGCAACCAGACTAACGCCCCCCCAGAATAGATGGGGAACCTGTGTGGGTGTGGGTGTTAAAACAAAACAAAACAAAAACAAAAACAAAAACAAAAAAAACAAAAAAAAAACTGACATTTCGTCATATGTGAATTCCTTTTTGCACATCACAAGATTGCATGGAAATTTTGAGGTACAGAATTACAGGGTTTTTTTTTTTTTTTGGGAAAAGGAGCAACCTTTATTTAACTGTGCCGCGAACCGCGCCCGCTGTCCCTCACAACGTTCGCCGCAGCTCTAAGGCTGAGCAAGGCTTTCCAGGTCCGGCTTTCCTCGTGCAATGCGTGAAAATACAACTTCACGTTGTTGTTATTTTTTGTGAAAAACTGGCGGGGAACTTTTGTGCAGTTGAGAAAAGTTGCAATGTCATGCTGCAGGGATATATAAAAAACATGAGGGTTCGGCGTCCCCAAGATGACATATCTCCGTCGATGGACAACGGTACGGCTTCCCGGGATGCCATAAGGGTGCTGCATCCCCAGGGTGCTATATCCCCGACAAGGGATAAGGGTACGTCGTCCCCAAGCTGCTATATACAGCCCTCTTTTGATCAGGGTTTTGGACACTACACACACACACACACACAACTTTTCTGTCAAAAAAAAAAAAAACACACATATATCGTCACAAACAGAGCTGCCCGGTAAACCGTAGGCAGAGAGAGAGAAGAGGACAACAAACGAGGGGCTGTGACAAACTGTTTCGTCGGAGTTTCACCGACTCATCAGGAGGCTGCCCGGTAAACCGTAGGCAGAGAGAGAGAAGAGGACAACAAACAAGGGGCTGTGACAAACTGTTTCGTCGGAGTTTATACATCCCCTTGGTAGTGTGTGTGTGTCTATGTGCTCCCTGTTGATTAAAAACGCTTGTCAAAGTGACTCCCTGACTCTGGATGGGAGTTGCTTTGGTGTGGTGTGAACTTACAGTCTCTAGAGTTCTACTTGGGGGTGTGAGTAGAGGACCGTTTGCGTTCGTCCGTGCTGTACGTGTGCACTTCCTTGTTCATGCTGACCTGACCTGCTAGCACGCTCCCCGCTCCCTTGCCTTCTCTTGCCTTCTTGCTCATCTGCTTGCCTTATGTCAACTTGTTGCTGCCCTGCCCCTCACCTTGTTGCCTGCCTTGCTATCTTCCTTGCTGCCCAAAGTTAACGATACCTGCTTTGCTGCCTGCCATGCTATCTTCCTTGCTGCCTGCCTTGTCATCTTCTTTCTCCCCCCCCCCAAAAAAAAAATGGCAAAAAACATTGTCCTGGCTCCATATCCATTACGGGGAGCATCAGTCCCGTTCCTATTCCCCCCGGCAAGTCGTAAATTACACTGATTCGCACACCCAAGTTTCCTTCCGTCTGGCCGAAGGACCCCTGAACATCATTGATTACTCCAATCACTTGGATCCAATTACTTGGAGCATTGACTGTCAGCTTGCGATCCGTCTAGGAAAGCCTTTCTATCTTCCTTGCTGCCTGTTTTGCTATCTTCCTTGCTTCCTGCCTTGCTACCTTCCTTGCTGCCTGCCTTGCTATCTTCCTTGCTGCCTGCCTTGCCATCTTCCTTGCTGCCTGCCTTGCCATCTTCCTTGCTGCCTGCCTTGCTATCTTCCTTGCTGCCTGCCTTGCTATCTTCCTTGCTGCCTGCCTTGCTGCCTGCCTTGCTGCCTTTGCTGCCTGGCTTTGCTGTCTACCTTGCTAGCTGCCTGTGCTGCCTGTCTTTGTTGCCTGCCTTTGCTGACTACCTTGTTGCCTGCTTTGCTGGCCACATGACCGCTCGCTTGACGGTGTGCCTACCTTCTTTCCCCGAGCACAGCGCACAGCCAGTATATCCGCATCTAGCCGGATGAAAGTTACCCTGAATACTCACCCGAAATGACCAGCCGTTGTTTTCGGGGGAACAGGCGGAAGTTCTTGCCTTGTTGCTTTGCTTCCTGTCCTTTTTGCCCGCCTACTCACCCGCCTACTCACCCGCCTGCTCACCCGTCTTTCTGCACCTTCACTCCTGCTGTTTTGGCTTGCTGCCTGTGCTGTCACCCCCCTGGTCGTCCACTCCCAACGGCGATTTCCAAGTAGACTACTATGACTAAAAAAGTCTAAACATCAACATCGAGCTTCTGCATACCGTCGAGCATTCAGGCTTCTGATGAGCGAGCGAGAGTCTCACGAAACCGTTTGTCATTATCTCTTTTGAAAAAAAATGTTTACTATATTTTCTCAGTTATCTGACTCCGTTTCATGTTCCACACCGTCTGTTGCTTTCCGTCAGACCATAGTGATGTGGTGGTTGGCGGAACCGCCCCTTCCGGGTGTCGACATGTGGACTTCTGAATGTTGTTGTTTCCCGATTCATTGGAGGAGTGTGTGCCAATCACTTTCACTGCACACACTCTTCCAAAATGATGACTCGCTTTTGCTGAGTGTTGTGCAGTGCTTTACTTAGTGCTTGAGCTTGAAAACACGCACACACGCACACACACACACACACACACCCCACAAATGCACACACATACACATGGATTCAACCTCCTATGAGTAGGTGAAACTCTGACGAACAGCCTGTCACAGTCATGCTTTTTCTGTGGAGTTTTTAAGCAACTACAGAAATTGTGCAGAAGGTGATAGCCATTTGTTGAGTGTTTTTCTTTTCGCTTCTACTCCTTCGTGGTGCCTTGGGACTACAGCTAATTCCATTGATATTTTTATTTGATAAATGAATTCTTGCTCGATATATTTATTCATAATTTGACCATGAAGTAGTTTTCATTTGAATTGTAATTTACGTCCATTACTTTTTTTTTTTTTTTTTTGATAATAGTAGAATAGTACTCGTTACGTCATTTTATCATATTCACCACCGCTATTTGACATTTGTAGTAATAATTATCTGGTTCAAAGTGCCAAGAAATGAGAGGGAGACACACACACACACACACACACACACACAGAGAGAGAGAGAGAGAGAGAGAGAGAGAGAGAGAGAGAGAGAGAGAGAGAGAGAGAGAGAGAGAGAGAGAGAGAGAGAGAGAGGGGCAATTCACCTCTGTTTCAGCAAGTCTTTCCCTTATCTTCCTCCCTTCCTCCTCCACCTTCCTTGTTTCCTCCATAGCTGTCTCAAGCTCTTTTTTTATCAAACTCATCCCGTTTTCCATCGCTGCACGACATCATCATCCGTCATCATGGGGCCTCCGTTTTTTCATTAAGTTTTTGCAATTTTGAAGTTTTCAATTCGAAATTTGAAATATGAAAGTAACCTGTCATTTTCCTACTCGTCTACTCGTCTTAGTGAATTACTAAGTTTTATTAATTATTAAATTTTGAAATTTTGAAATTATTTAAGGCTACTTGGCTCGCCCGGCTATGCAGCTTGGGCAACTCGCGCGAGTGTCAGCTGCATGGGGCACCCCACGCAGGCAAACATCAGCATTTTAATATTTTCTATATGTTTTTTGGGTGGGGGGTTTCCACGCATGCCCAGAGGAGCCCAAATCCAGGCTCCTTTCTTTTTTCAAGTCCTGGCTGTCAAGGGGGGAAGGAGGGGGGTATAAATTGGGTTTTTATTACTTTTTAAGTAACTAAAGGTGCGAGAAATGAGCCCTTGCAGGGCCCTTATCAGACATGGAAGTGTGCTGGGATGTGGCCCCCAGCAAGCCTCGTGTCCGCCCTAAGTGAAGGCGCGCCTAAATATCCACGTGAGGCCTCTGTTCGACATTTTTCCATATGCTGCGTATCAGACAGTTGCAGCACGTCAGTTGGTTACAAAGCAACGTGAGCCTTTCCCGGCTCTATCCAGAAGCTACAGCTGCGCTGCACAGTTGAGCCCAGGGCCTTGGGTGGTTGCGCCCTGGGCACACGCAGTGTGAGGCCGACACATCACGCAGTGGCCACGGACAAATGAGAAAGAAGCATTGCCGTCACACCACCTCCATGAGCCACTGAGTATGCGCCAAACACTTGGCCTGGACGGCTGCATGGACGTGCCCAACTGTAAGGGGCCCAGGCCCGTAACAGCAGAGGTGGGCCTGAGCGCAGACACTGGGGCCCGACTGGAAGCTACTGGAAACATCTCCAGCCAGGCCCACGCAGGCATACACAGGCTGCACTTTCCATAAAAGAAAGTGCCCTGCCCAGGCTCAGGCATTCTGGCCTTGGTGGGCAATGCAGCCACGCTGCTGCACTCTCACACGAGCAGCTGCATTAGCGCTGCGGGCCAGACGCGCGTACGGGTGGTGACGTGAGAGGGGCGCTGCTGAGGCAGTGGGCGCACGACGGCCATAGCCGGGCTGCTGGGGTGCAGGCAGGTAATGGCGATGGTGGTCTTCGGGTAGGAGGCGCATGCAGAAGGGAGACAGGGTATGATGAGGGGAGTAGAGCGAACGTACCTGGTGAATGCTGGCGGTCCGCATTGGTAATGACGTCACGTACATTGCCCTTCAACTTTGATGTGATCTAGTCGCATGAATGTAGATAGGATAGATAGGCTGAGTAGTGTAGGCTGGGCGCTGGGCACCAGACAGTAGGAGCGACAATGGATACAGTGTCGGTGTGACCAGAGAGCGTCGACATTGGCACTCAAGTTTATTGTATTGCTCTTATTTGGATGGTGTCTTGGTGCATTGTGCTCTCTGCTTGGTACATGACTATCTGCCAGTATCTGGACTACTTTGTGATTATTGCAACTTGGATCTTGTCAAAGGGGTTTAAACTCTAAAGGGGGTCGCCTTAGTCCGATTCTGTTATTTTAGGCCTCAACCATACATATCGCTCTTCATTTCTAGTGTACGCCTAGCGGTGGAATATGTATACAAGTTAGTTGCCCGAAAGGATTATAGCTTAAAAGCACAAGGGTACCCGTTGCAGCTTCGGTCGCAAAAAGTTGACGGGGAGAGAAAAAAATGAGAAGAGGGTGGGGCCCGTGGGGGAATGTTGGGGGGGAAGTGGTGGCCCGCCGTCGGGGTAGATTTGACTCTCTCTCTCTCTCTCTCTCTCTCTCTCTCTCTCTCTCTCTCTCTCTCTCTCTCTCTCTCTCTCTCTCGCGCGCGCGCGCGCGCTCGTGTCTCCCTCTCGCTCTCTCTCTCTCTCGGCATGCTTTCTATTTTTTTAAATGGGTCCTGATGGACCACGGACAAGATATGAAAACTATCAGAACAGATACTACACTTGATCGTGTATGTGTGTGTTGGGGGGTGGGGAGGGGGGCGTAGTTAGTTAGATTTTTTTGTGGGGGTATGCATTAAGTAGTTATATTGGGATTGGAGTCCACCGCTTCTTTTTTTCGTGGATCTCTCTCTCTCTCTCTCACTCTCTC